TTTTTTTTTTTTACATATCCAGAAAAAAGATATCTGTGCATAAAGATAAAATAAATGTTTAGTAAAGTTTTTTCTTTTTGATATAAGCGAAATCAAAAAAATCAAAACCATTTTTTGGCTTTTGGTTCAGTTACTGTGGACTTCAGGTCGACCTTACAGCCCAACTTTGACCAAAGTTTTCTGTGTCTTTAGCCTGTTTACAGTCCAGTCAGTAGCTCAGCAGGATCCACTTATAGTTTTGTGTTTTTGTCCAACTTTCAAAAATATACACTGTTGCCCATCAAGTATGAATATTTTTGTGTCTAGAAATATATCTTTTTTTATTTTTTATTTGTTGGTTTAGTTTTTACAGTAATATGTCTATACAGTTTTCATAAGATATATACTGCATATATGAAGTATACATCATATTTTCACTATCATTTAATAAGAAGAGGTCAAAATACTCTTTACTACTGGGAGTATTTGCTCATCCCTCCAAGTCAGATGCTCTAATTATCTCCATAATCATCTACGTAATACTGAGGACCTTAATATCCACTATTAAATATTCCATATACTTCAACATTCCAAAAGATTTATTTGTTTTTTGCTCCCAACTCTGGAAACAGAGTTTCATCAAAATGAGTTTGCACCAATGCATAAATCAAGGAACAAATGAGTTACACACGCCCTGCAAAGAGCCAACATCAGTGTCTGCTTGAAGAATGGAAAATAATTCCCCAAACAATTACTTTAAATCTTGTAGAAAGTCTTTTGTGAATTCAGTGAGTTCCTCTCTCACATTTAAATCATGTACATTTTTGCATAAGAAGGTCTAAACCACAAGAAAAAGTGAGTAGAGCCATTAGTGATAATGTCAAAGGGTGGTTTTGCTCTGCTCCAGTACGTCACATAAAATGGTTCCCCCTTAATGAAATGTAGCTCCTCTCAGCTGGCAGCACGCCTGCAGTCCCAAACCATGATTGGATACAGTTTGGACTTTTCTCACCTAGAGCTCTCCCTTTTGTTGCCATTTTTTTTACATTAATGGATGTAAGGAGTAATTTTATAAGGACAGCAAATGTACACTGATAAACAAGCTGCACCCTGATTAGCTGTGAAATTACTGTGAATACCATCGATTAAAAATAGACATTATTGACGTTGACACAAAGCAGACGAGTGAACACTTATGCAACGTACTGTATTTTATTTCAACTTTATGGGTAGCAGTGTAAAATTACCCCCTGTAATCAAAACGTAAATTAGAGATAAAACAAAGAGAAGTCAACTTTTTAACTGAAGCGCATGCAAATAGTTTTCTTCCACATATACAACCAAACAGAAATGGTTAAATTCTACAGCTATTTACTGCATTATAAACTTTTCATTGCTTTTTTTTTTCCCCAACAGCGATAAAGATCTTTGGTTTAAGGCAAGAGCCAGGTAATAAAGCCTTAAACGTGTAAGCAAACCTTCATCTAGTTCCTGTTAAAGCTCTCTGTTATCATATGATGTGATGACTGAGAGGGTCCATTATGAGCGGGAAAGCATAAAGCACTAACTTCTTTCTCAAGCTGTTATTTGCACTTGTCACCGTCTCAATTGGGACAAACTGATGTAAAAGAGCTAAATACTTGCATAATAGATTGATTTTGTGCTGAACACATTTATGTTCTCTGTGAGATTGATTTGTGCATTTGAATGTAGCTGATCGTGAGGCCATCCATCAAACGTGCTGTATATTGTGTAATATAAAGAATGGATATTGTTCAAGTTTTTTTTCTTTCTCAAAAGTATAATGTCTCCCTCTTTAAAACGCCAAGTAGATAAGTGCCAGAGAAACCTTAAAACTGTTGTGTTGTGCTGTTCTGAATGTGTGCATTTGTTCCGATGTACTTCTTTACTCAAAGTGGCTGTTATCAACACTGTGAAACATCTGATTTTTACAAACATTAGCTCAAATGTTTTTTTTTTGTTTTTTTTTTTTATTTCTAACGAATAAAACAAGAAATGATGATGAAAACTCCTCTCTGTCGAATATTCCTTAACATAGGTTAACAGACAGTCTTTATACTCTTATAGGCCTATGATAAAGTCCAAAGGAACAAACTCCTAATTAATTGATGATCCACATCTGTGTAATATGATAAAATTAGGAAATTATAGTGTTTCTTTGAAGGCATTTTAGGTTTATTAGAGAACATTAGTGAAAAAACAGCATCATGAAGAATAATGAATGATCAAGCAACTCAATGATGGAATAGTGGAGACGTCTGAATAGGAAAAGGAGGAACATCGACGCCCACTGTAATTCTCAAAGAGCTGCTGCCATCAATCAAGGGGAAGAATCTGTGAACAGGAACTTCACTAATCTCGTTTTCTTTGTTTTCAAAATAAATAATATAGCATATAACCCCTTTAATGGGTTCATACATGAAAAAATCGTATGTCTTTTATCAGTCTTTTTTCTCTAATCACATGTCACTGATATTTTTATGAATCCCAACAAGTAGAAGTTCTAGAAGGTTCTTGAGTGTTTTTGCATGTTTTGTGTTGATGGTTAGGTGTTCAATCAGAATGTTTGATTTAACATATTGATCTCAAATTTCAGTCACCAGCTCTTGTTTTACTCTTTGAGCACATTTTCATTTCCTAAACACCAAACCTTATCCCTGGGAGTTTGTCTTGGTTAATGTCCTTCTACCCTTTAACACATATATGGTTCCTTGCTGTTTATTAGAAAAATCCACATACTTATTTTTTTCTAAAGGTGATATAGTTTTTACTCCCTCCTGGAGTCACTATTATTGTAGGTCTCTGTAGGACAGTGTTTTTCAACCATCTTGCTCAAACACTGCCCTGCATGTTTTAGGTGTTTCTCTGCTTCAACACTCCTGATTCCAATGAAACCCTGTTAATCTGCTATCAATTAATACCAGCTGTGTTAATGTAAAAAAAAAAACACACACACAACGAGGCTGCTATTATAATGAATGTTAGAATAAAAGAGAGACATTCTAAAAGCTTTGGATGAAACTTGTCTTCATAAAAAGTGAAAGAACAACAGATTTTTTGATAAATTTGAAACTATTCTAAGAATAATGTCTAAACTCAATACCCTTCACTCTTCATTCAAGGGTTTTTCTGTTGAGGAGAAAATCCCATGCACTCTAGTAAGCTTCCTTTAGACATTTATTCCCAGTTAGTGTATGAATAATATCTAGAGGAGGATAGGTTTCAACTGCCAGACCTTTCAGATTTACCTCATTACCTATAGGTTCACAAATTAAAAGTGACAGCGAGGACTAGCAGGACCAGCCTTGGATCAAATGGGCTCAGAAACAGCATGATATTCTATAGATATTTACATCACATGACCTTCAATCAAGATTCAGCATATGTTAGTTTTTACTGTTATCATTGATGATATTTGAATAGAATAAAGCGCGTCTTTGTAAAGTGGAGTATTGTTGCCTCATTTTATTTATATCACACTCAAAACACTGCCCCTGAAACAAGATTAGAACACAGCTCCTCCATCTGGATGTTTTCAGTAGGTGACTGATGTTTTTCAGGCTGAGTTGCAGAAATCCACCAGGTGGCCCTACAGTTCCATGAAGACCCAGACTTAAAAACAAAACCAAACATTGTCTTCACCTGTAGGAACAGATGATTGCAGAGGAGAAAGCATGCAACAGACGTATAAAGGTCTGCAGCTCAGGAAGCTGCATGTTCTCAGGACGTATAAATCTGCTGTGTGTCTTCACTCCTACGTCTCCAGTCCAGCCTGTTGTCCAGGTGAACACAGAGGTATTTAACTGTAAGAACATGGAATTAAAGCTACTATGTGTGTATTTAGAAATGCACTATGAATCCATCCATTTGTCGTCTAAACCTACTTGTCCTTATCAGGTTCACAAGGGGGCTGGTGCCCCCACTCTGCAGTCCATCACAGGAAAACACATAAGCCCACAGAGCAAACACCAGGACAGACACACTGCAATTATTGATTTTTAGACAATCAACTTTAAAGTTTTTCCCTCTAATACAGATGGTGGCAGCAGTAAAACTCTCAAGTGGGATATTCAAAATATGTTATTGTTTGGTGGTTAATTATACACATCAATATACTAACATAAAAGATGATAAATACAGAATTCATGCTCTTTTCAGAACTAGATTTTGTGTTACATGGGGTAAAGAGAAAATTATGTGTTTCGGCCCCACTTCAGATTAAGTGTGTCTGAAAATGGATGGATGGATACGGGTGTTTACATATATGCGTCTATTTCTTATTAAAGGCTGTAGGAAGTAGAGTTTGTTTTTATTTAGAAAATATGGATGATTTACTCATTAATTTTCCTATTGGAACAGTGCAGATTGACCCTGAGGTTTTGGTGCCTATCCATTCCCGGCCACCACTCAGTGTACATTGGTTATTGCCTGGCCACCCTTATAAAGATTTTCTGGCTACGCCTCTGAGTTATCATAAAGGACAAATGTGTTTTGCACCTAAACCAGGGTTGAGGGCTTAAAGCAGCTCTCCTTTTTCTCGGTGGAGCAGCAGCAGTTTTGCTTGGCTGTTTCTCTTTAATTCTGCGGCATCTCTCTCCTCTCTATGCGGGAGGAGGAGGAGGAGGAGGAGAAGGAGGGCAGTGAACGGACAATGAGCAGATTTTGGACTCTAATGAACCTACAGATGATGCGGCATGAATGAGACCAGATGATTTCTGCTCCACTATATCTGCATTGATTGATTTTGCTTAAGATGAAGAGACTGATCCTGGAAACAAAGGATTAGAGGAATTTAGGAGGTTTCCTCTGCAGTGTTTTTTTTTTTCCTTTGGTAGCGCAGTACAGTAAAAAAGGAGTATGACCTCAGGAGCTGCTGATCAGTGACAGAAAGTGCGTTGGTTGCGTGAGGAGCAGAGGTTCAAGATGATGTCCCTGATAGATCTGGATGATGATCAGCGGTGGGTGCCCACTCATGTAAATATCACGGTGCTCCGCGCCAGGGGGCTGCGGACCAAGGGCAAGCACGGCAGCCGCTACCTCTACACCATCATCCAGGTGGGGAAGGAGAAGTACACCACCGGGCTGGTGGAGAAGGCGGAGATGCCGGTGTGGGAGGAGGAGTGCTGCTTCGAGCTGCTGCCGGGGATCCTGGAGGAGGGCGGCCGGAGCGCCTATCCTCCTGGGAGCGGAGATCTGGTCCTCACCGTCATGCACCGGGTCCTGATCGGGCTGGACGTGTTCCTGGGTCAGGCCATCATTCCTCTGGATAAGATATTCCAGGACGGAGTGTGTCCCAGAGATGAGTATGTTTCAGTCACTGCTGGAGTATTTTTAGAGTTGATGGTGATCTGTCATGTGCATCCCATGAACTGACCGGTTATCCTCACTGAGCCAGTTCAGATGGGAAATATAACTGCAGCCCAAGCTGCAAAAGCAACACCAAAACCTGACCTATGGACTGATGAAGCACAGCTTCCCATAATGCACCGCACATAAACAAGATGAATTGCAGTTTTCCCTGTTGCACAAGTCTCATCATGGCCATAAAATCCATTTGGATGCAAAAAAAAAAAACAAAAAACCCCAAAAACAGTAAATAAAATCCCCTCCATTCATGTATAATTTCAGAGAATGAGAAGAAAAGAAGGCTTTGTGATGGCTTCATATAAAAAGGGTAATCAGTTTGCATGTGGCAGCTAAGATTGAAACACATAAGATTTTGTTAGGCTGTGGTTTTAAATAGAGCACAAGAATTTGGAAGAAATATACAGGGACAAGGTTTAAAAAGCTGATTATGTGAGAGTCGGGCGTAGGCCTGAAACAATTAATCAGATTAACCATTATTAATTGATTATTGAAACAATCATCAACTTATTTAGTAATAGATTAACCGTTAACTGGAGTATAGAGACAGTAAAACATGCATTTACCTGACACAATGAGCAGCAATTATACCAAAATTGTAAAAAAAAAAAAAAAAAAAAAAAACTGTAAACATTTTGTATTACAGATTAAAAAAAAAACAAAAAAACGTTTTTGTCTGTCAATATGCTCTATCCATGAATCCTCAAGTGGAAAAGTTTTAGTTTCACTGGTTTAATGTCGTTAAAAAGTCTTTTTTATGGAATCTTTTGCTATCTGATTATTAACGATAAATTGACAAAATAATCAATAAATTAATCGATTTGCAAAATATTGTTAGTTGCAGCCCTACAGGGGTGGTTTTAGACTGGATGTTCTTCATTAAATGCCCATTAAACCATGTGACTGAAGTGCAGCTCAGAAAAAGATAAAAAAAAAATAATGAAATAGTTCTCAAAAAAGGAAAAGAAAAGCAAAAATGAGCACTGTCTACTGACAGAGAATGGAAGAAGATCTGGATAGCTTCTACAGCACCATAACACATACATTTGCTTTAGTCTCAACCATTAATCTGAGTTTGCTTAGCGCCCTGCTTTAAGATGAACATCACAGCTTTTGCAGCCTCCAACAACTTGATTCTATGTTTAATTATGACTTTCAACCATATTAACCGAGCATGATGCTGCCACCACCATGTTTTACTTTGGGATAATGTTTAGGGATAGTTTCGTCCTCTGTGACATTACCACCCTCCTCCATATGTGTTAAAAGTCAACACGGTGTCAAACTGCAAAGGAGACTTTCTTGCTATTTTATTTCAACGATATATTTTCTCTCACTTCCTTATCTTCTTTTAGTGTTTTGAGGGTATGTTTTGACACTCTTAAAATATTTTTAGGATCCAAAAGTGAAGAAAAACGAACATTTATCAAGAGTGTTTACAGTTGTTCCATAAGGTTGTAGTTAACGAAAAAAGAACAGTGCTCTGTGAAATGATGAGAACTTTTAATATGGTTTCATATCTTGCCTTCCTAGTTCTCCACCATTGCTCTGTCTTTTGCTTCCATTTTATTAGCAGGTATCACAGTTAAGGAGTTAAGGAAGGGTAATCATCTAATATATTATACTTTTATTGTAAAAAAATAAATAAATAAATAATCAAACAGATTTGTTGCTTAACGATTACTTTTACAAGGCACTGTAAAATAAAGGAAATGCTCTTTATATTTCAGTGCATTTTAGCAAAGGGTAAAAAAAACAAAGTTGTTTCTGGAAAGTCAACAACAAAAGCTAACAGACAATAACTTGCTGTGGATATAGTAAATATCTTTCTTACTGGAATTCTGTTTTAGATGACTTCGTAATCATCATTCTTTAGTAAATGCTTTTGCAGAGTATTTAATGTGGCTGACTCACCAGCTCTATTAGGAAACCATTAATGGTCGTCTCCCCTCCATACACGTGCATTTAGTAATTACATTTTTGGCTTACAAGTCTAGAAAAACTACGAGGCGATGGCAAGTATGCACTTTAAATGCGATAAGCTTACATGAAAGTTACTTTTTGACAAAGTCAAGATAAACAATATCTATATATGGTTATATTAGCGTGTTAGTGATAGTGGATTACCATTGTTTTTAAATTAACAACAGGTGACCTAACTGCATTCTGTAATGTTAAAGTAGCAGAACAGAGTAAAGCAGTAACATCTGGTTTCCATTCAGACTCTTCCTCACTCTCAGCTCACTGAATTCCTGCTGTTTTTCCTGACTCTGTAGCATTTCTGAGGTCCACCCGGACAACCTAAGAGGGAGGAACAGTGCAGGCATTGCATTCATTGGATGACCCAGTTTATCTGTTGATATTTATTTTTTCAGCTGACTTGGTTATTGTTGGAGGCTTTTTGAGATATTTGTGTTGGGATTAGCTGCTCTGAGTATTTTAAATAGGTTTCCTTTAAGGATTGCTGAGCTGTATATGTTTTATAATAATATGAAAGTTATTTCCAAGAGATAATCCTATAATTCCTTTTATTGCATATGTCCTAATTTAACTTTTAAATAAAGATTTATTGGATTTGATATCATTCTTATTTTTGCCTGCAGATGGTTCAAGCTGAACTCCAAGGCCGGAAGAAAAGAGAAGGAACGCGGCGAACTTCAGGTGACTGTCCAATTCACCCGCAACAACATGACAGCCAGCATGTTTGACCTCACCATGAAGGACAAGCCTCGCTCTGCGTTCGGCAAGCTCAAGGACCGCGTCACGGGGAGGAAGAGGGGTGATGTGGAGTCTTCCTCTGCCATTGTGCCTGGTCGTTATGCTGCGCTGTCTGGATCCCAGGGACAGCCGTTCGGAGAGGAGGGAGGAGGTGTGGTGGAGCCACGAGAAGGGGAGGCATCAGAGGAGAAGAGGAGCAAGATGAAAGATTTCTTTAAGGGAAGGCTGCGAAAGTCGTCTGACACCCGATCCTGCTCATCTCTGGCCTCAGAGAGCAGCATGTCTTCCATAGCCAGTGATAACCTTGGCCCTCCACCCAGCCTGGATCTGCTGTCAGACCCCCCCAGCTCCCCCATTTACACAAGCAAAGTTAGAGCTGATGCTCTCTATGGGGAAACAGACTTAGCAAAGAAAGGTAGGCTATGAAATCATTATCTGTATTATTCCTTTAAGGTTGTAGCTGCAAGTTTTTAATTCAAAAATAGAACATTTCCGAATATATATATATATATATATATATATATATATATATATATATATATATATATATATATATATATATATATATATATAAATCAAACCTAAATATAAAACATTTTACTGACATAAGGCCTCAGTCAAAAGTTCTTCATTAAGGGCATCTGGTTGCTACAGAGAACTCAACAGTGACCCCTTTTTTAAGAATTAAATACATTCCTTACTAGTTTTTTTGTGAAAACATCTGTTATTTTGGACTACCCGTCTTGATTCCATGCTTAAGGCAAAGAAACTATACCCAACAAGGCTCCACTTCTGTTAAAGCTACACAACTGTAGTCTGATAATGCTGCTATAATCTTTAATAATGCTCTTATTATTTCATAATATGAAAAAGTCAGTCTAAAGGATGTCTTATCAACCTTTGCATTTAGCAGGGTTTATTATAGCCAATAAAATATATTTTATTAATCTTTTTCCAAAAGAAAATGATTTAGACTTGAGAAACTGGTCTAAGAACAAGACAGGAATTGATGCAGATTCATTGGCACAATGCAAGTAAAGGTCTACTGTCTGCACATTCTCATTCGTGAGGGGTGAATTCTGCAAAGCCAATCTCTAGGATTTCCTTGGGATCAAAACTTTTAACCAATCTGTCTGCATAATTCCAGAGCACCATAATGGGGCAGGTCACCTCCATTATTACAATCAATGCATGAAGTACACGGCAAAAGTCTGCTCCAAAATCAAAGTTGATCCTAAAAGAATTTGAATGAATTCATTAAATTTGCTAACCTTTGGTTTAGATATCACAGCCACCAATATTAGAATTAGAGTTAGCCCTTAAGGGAAGGGATTAAATAAGGTTTAAGTATTAAGTCCATAGACCTCAGAACATTATTGGCGAAAATATAGACGATCAAGTAAACACATAACGGTAATTAAAAATCTCTTCAAGCAGAAGTTAGTGTTAAATTATATCTAAAAAAACAGAAATTATTGTACAAATTAAAACTTTAAGCTAAAAGAAATCAACAGGGGGAGTGACCCTCTGGAATCCAGAGGTCTGAGTTCAAGCCCCACTCCCAAGGACTGCCACTCTGGGTTCCTAAGCAACCACACTGCTCCCCGGGTGCCACAAAATGACAGCCCACTGCTTTCCAAGGGGATGGGTTAAATGCAGAGGTGAGTTTCTTCAATGTGAGATCAATAAAGCTAAATTATTATTATAACACATGGGTATGCCAAAAAATGTCTTTAGCTGAATTAAAACAAAGCTGAAGTAGTAGATTTTGGACCAAAGGAATACCTATGTATGTTGCACCATCTGCTTTGCCAACAGAAGACTGTCAAGGTTTTAGTTGTAAGGAACATATCTGAAGGTATCCAGGGCATGGTCAAACTTGAAAGGTTCAGTTTAGACAACTGGACGTGAAGTTTTCTAGAAGACGTTTCACATTCTCATTCAAGAGGTTTCTTCAGTTCTAACTAGTGGTGGGGAGCACTGAGATTAATATACGTAGGTGAAACGAAGAGCAGGGGGAACCAAAGGTGTCTCTGATCCCTCCTACTGGACTGGCCAAGGAGGTCACGTGGGGGCTTATTGATTGTTTGGGGGTTCTGATGGGTCGTTAGCTCCCTCGCAAATCATGGGAATGGAGCGGAGTGTCGCGCAATTCCCGCTTCCCTCTCAGGAGGATGTTCGCTCATTCGCTCCGCCATTCAAAGTTGCGCCAGGAGGCTCTGCTCAAAATCCGCTCCATGCTCACTCAAATTTTCTGAAATTTTTCTTTCATGTAATTATGCCAGGGCCCTGGGACACGCAGCTTTTAATTTAATTATGTGACCGATACATGTATATTGTCTTATTTAACTGGCTGTTAAATATCTGTTTCCCAGCTGTGAACGTAACACCTCACTCCATTCATGTTGCACCGCGTTACTTATCCATCCATCCATTATCTGACACACTTGTCCCAAGTGGTGTCGCGAGGGGTTCTGGTGCCTATCTCCAGCTGTCTACAGGCGAGAGACGGTGTACACCCTGGACAGATCGCCAGTCCATCGCAGGGGAACACAGAGACAAACAGGACAAACAACTGTTCACGCACACACTCACACCTAAGGAGAATTTAGCGAAGCTAATTAACCTAACAGTCATGTTTTTGGACTGTGGGAGGAAGCCAGAGTACCGGGAGATAACCCACGTATGATCAGGGAGAACATGCAAACTCCATGCAGAAAGACCTCGGGCCGGGAATTGAACCCAGAACCGCGTTTCATATTTAATCATTAATTTATTTTACTAGACTACATTAAAAAAGGCCCTTTCGCATTCCATTGCAAATGGGATAATGGCGTAAAATGCATGTATTGCGTTCCATTTTCAAAAACAGGCTCTTACCACAACTATCACTTTATGTAAGTCCAGTCTGTATTGTTATGTATAGTTAGTGTATGTTTTTATGATATTTTATCCCACTTTTTATCACACAATATGCAAAGTTGAAACATAGACTATAACAGACATATTTTTTAAGGATTAAAAACTGTTGGCCTGCAACTGTTTTCAATTCCAAAACATGTCTAAAAAAATCACACTTAAATCAAATAAATGTTATTTTACAAATTTTATAATCCAACAGTTTTAATTGGCGTTGTGAGCGCATTGGAGCGAACTCGAGCAGAGCGAAATCCTCGCTCCGGCCTTTGAAATGAAGACTGCCCTGTACTTTTTCCAGATTAACAAAGATGGCTTCCTTAACCCCTCTCTCAAACATCTGTCTTCCTTGACCAGGATATGGACGTCGTCCTCAAACAAGTGTCCTTTAGCCTTCAGGTGTAGGTTAACAGCTAAGTCCTGTCCTAAAGAGTTGGCCCTCCTTTGCTGAGCGTTGCTTGTTCGTAAGGTTGATACTTCCCGACTGGACTTATTTTACAGGTGGCATCCTTTTAAGGCGGTATGTTGGAAAATACTCAGCTCCTCAGAGCAACCTATTCTTCCACAAATGTTTGTAGGAGCAGTCTGCGTGTCTCAATTCTGGATACAACATATGTGATTAAGAGGCTTTAATTCATTGATTATAAGGGATAACTCAATACTTTTGGCATTGTCTGTAGAGCACACCTAAGGTTCTGGAAATACACCTGGAATTGACAAGGGAACATAGCTTAAAGTAGATGATAGGTCAAACCTATATACTGTGACTTTTCTCTCAACAGAAAAATATACCAGCAGGTAAACTACAAATGTAATTCACTTTTAGTTGCTATGACGTAGGGAACAAATTCTTTAAAAATGTTAAATCTTTCTAACTAGTCCACATTGAAAAGATTATTTGCTTTCAAAATAAATTTCTTATTTGTTTCTGACAGTGCTCACCAGCCAGCACACTACCAAGATTCTTACACACAAGCGAGCCTTCAGCGATGAAGCTAGTAAGATCACCACAGCTCTCCCTCGATCAAATGCTGCAGTGGAGTCCATTAAGGGTCAAACCATGACTCAATCCAAGTCATCTCTCTGTATAAATGGAAGCCATGTCTACGATTCAGAGCCTTCAACTCCAAAAACCTCTGGAGCCCTTCCGTCCAAACTGGTCCTGTTGGAGAAATACTCACCACTGTCTCGGTCTCTGCAGAATCTCACAAAAAAAGGAGAGGAGAAGAGTTCATTTGCAGAGGGACGACGGTGGTCTTTTGATAAGCTGAAGAAGGAGGAGAAGGAGGGAGAAAAAGAAGCATTTGGTGAAGAGGCTCGGACGGGAGGAAGCCCTGTTCATGGAGCAATACCAGTCATATCTTCAGCAAGTTGTTCACCTGAAAAAGGAAGGAAGCTGAGAAAGACATTGTTCTCTACAGGGAGGAGTGATTCTCTGCCATCTAAGTCAGACCTAAGCCAGACTGGGTCTTCATCAGAGGGAAGGCTCAGGGGCTGGTTTGGTTCCGGGGATTCCCAGAACAAGCCAAGGTGAGTCAGGATCATTAATAGTTCTCCTGTTACTTTCATTTAGTTTCCATTAGCTCCTACTCACTAATAATTATTGGGTGTCAGAGTCAAATGTTTGATCTGCCATATATGCATTTAAACAACGATTTGGTTATTTTTGGCCTTTAAAAAACCATGCAGGCTCATCACCAATATACGTGTTTTCCATACTTGGCCCCTCAGCATTGCCATTCTTTTTTCAGTGTGTGTTTTTATCTCCAAGCTGCATCATGTACACATGGTTTCTCACTCGGCATTTACCAACACAGTCCCTGAAAGTGTAGGTGTGGTTTAAGTTGCTGCTGTGCATCTTATTTCGTTCTTTGCTTTTTTATTTTGCAAATACGCTTTGCTTTTTCTCATTTATGTTTCCACAATTCTACTTCTGTTCAAAAGTCTTCAAACTGAGTTTATTTGAGACAGTTCATCCTACTTTATGAGCAAATATCCTGTTTTTATAAAATGACTTTCCCCATATGGTTTCCTGGCACATCATTAACCAAGAGGAATATTTTGCCCTATTTTCCTCCACAGGCTGGAAGTTTCTCCTAAGGTAGAAAGCCACTCAGATGTACCCCATTCCCACTCTCCTTCCTCCCCAGTTCCTCCTCCGTGCTCCGTTCCTTCTGCCTCTCCCTCTGGTCATATCTCACCTGACAATCACAGTTACATCAACCTCTTCACCCCTTCCTCCTCTCCTTCCTCAAACCCTCTCTCCCCTTCAAACCCTTTCCTGCCATGTATGCAGCGCAACCCTTTTTTTGAGGAGCTAGTAGCAGAGGAGTTAGATAAGTTGCCTTCTTTTGCTTCATGCTCCTCTTCCGGCTCACCCCCCTGTCATTACACCACCCTACAAGCAGATGTTGATTCTGAAATTGGCAGCAATAGTAGGGTTTCCATTAAACGGGAGCGGCCCCAGCCAGTTGCTAAGCAGAAATCACTACCCGCATTGCTACCCGGAGCGGTCTCGCCTTACTCTCCTATTCACTCTGCCCCTTGCTCTATCACTGAACATCCAGGAGAATGGGAGGAATCTTTTGATGCCTTTGCCTGTAGCAGACTCAAATCCCCTAAAGGTCAACTTCCGCCAGAACCACCAAGAACCAGTCCGACCCTATCTTGTAAACATAGCTTTTCACTAGTGGATAGCTCTGGCTTTAACTATGCACAAGAACTGCAAAGATGCAACGAAGAACCTCCACCTTTACCTCCAAGGAGGCTTATAAGAAGTTCAGTTAATGACATTTTCTCAGACGGCTGGTTGCACAGAGGCCAAGAGCTAGTAGTCCATAAAGAGGCCTATCTGCTCTCTCAGACCGGTGTGGCATCTTTGCAACATGGTAGAGAGGGTGAGTCCAAAAGAGAGACCCCTTCACCCAACCCAAGTTCAAGCAGTGGAAAATCAGAGGCTGTAGGTGTCCACACCCAGTCGTACACAAACAACAACTTTGGTCTCATGTCTGAGGAGAACCCCAAAAGGTTTAAATATGAACCTCTGGAAGACAAAGCTGACTGTTTGGGTGGGACGTTGTTTGAACAAGACTTGTATGGACGTGCAAGCAGGGGAAGTTATGGCCAACAAAGACTAAAAAGTCATAATTCATTAATAAATTCTGAGGAAAATACAGAATCTAAGATCACATCCATTAACTCGGGGTCTAAAGGACTTATTGAGAATGACAAATTCAGCGTATTATCTACTCTTCCCTCCAACTTACCAGATGTTTCTTACTGTTCAGCAGAGGAAGCAGACGAAGCTAACTCACCTGAATCAACATGCCTCAACAATAACATATCTTTCTCACTGACATTAGGAGATCTTAACATGAATGTGAATGATTCAGACTTTAATTTTATTGACTCAGAGGGATCTTCTCACTCAGACATAGCTGATAATTTCAAAAGCAATCTAAGGGAGAAATTTACACCGCAAGATTTACAGTTAAGAGACATGTTCACATTGAAGGACACCTACATACCTACTCTGAACTCTTCTTTTGAAATATCTTCATCTTCTAGAAAACTTTGCAAAGTAACACCAGTTTGCCAAGACAGCTGCCAAAACTGTCTTTGTGAAGTAGCAAATGTAACACCGTGTGGCCCCTGTGGGTCAAAGAGCCAAGAGAGTGTTACACTGGTTCAAACCAATAACTCTCTGGATGTTGAAACTGAAACACTTAGAGGTGAACAAATAAAGTATAATACGGGGAAAGACTGTGATGATAATGGGAACCCAGGAGACAGAGTGGACAAACCTAAGCAGACTGAGACATTTTCAGGTGTTGTTAGTGCACGAATCAGACCAAAAGGAGCTTCCAGACAGAACAGCAATGACAGCCCAAGCAGCCATAGCAAATATGGAGACAGAGAGTTTGTAGAGTTTCTATCCCTTGTCCAGAACATTTCCGAGGTCAGTGAAGGACCTTTGTCTTATCAACCAACTAAATCAGTGCTTGCTTCCTCACTAGCTCTAGAACAGCCTGATAATCCTAAACTGACTTCTATCACTGACCAAAACAGACACTTTTTCTTGAACAATATATCACATATGTCTTCACTGGAGAACACAGTATCCAATGTGGCAGAGACATCCTCTACAATCAGCTTTGAAGATCTCCATGCAAAAGTTGCACCAAACTGCAGAACTCCTTCCAAAACAAAGATTCTGAAATCTTTGCAAATACATGAACCCTGCTCTCCCTCCATCCCTTCTACGCTCCCCCTGTCAACTGACACCCTGATCTGTAGCCCCCTCATACAATCCACAAGCACAGGGCCCAGTGCTAAAGTCAGCACTTCGCTGGCTATGGCCACCTACACCTCCCCGGTGTCTACCACCTTCACCACTGACCAGCCCCTGAAAGATGCACGGCACTCACTTTTACCTGAGGAGACACAGCCTGCTGGCAGCCTGCCCCATCAGGAGAGCAGGTGAGACTCCCCACACTAGAATATTACATATTTTAAAGAATCAGACAACAAAACCTGAAAATTGGATGTTTCTTTAGTTTTTACAGTAAATTTTCTTTGCTGTGATGGTTTCTTTTATTTTGGTCACATCCATGTATTTCAGTTTTGCCCCTACATCCAATTTGATTGGATGGTAGCAGCTGCCCTGCTTCTGGTTTTGATTTGAGTGTATTCAATTCACCTCATGCTTTGGTCTCTTCTTGGCTTATTTGATTTTGTTGCTTTCTTAAGCATTGCATTGCATTAAGTTTGCCAGTCTTGCTGTTATGTATGCTACCTACTGGGAACAAAAAATAGAACCCATGTCTTTGAATATAAGCTATACTGTACAAGATGTTAGAAACTGATGCTGATTTATACTAATGAAAAAGAATCAGACAATTAGTCGTATTCTGTTAGATCTAAAATAAAAACATGGTTTAGAATGTGACACTTCAAAAAAGTGTTAGACCAAGATTACAATCACGCCTCAAAACATTTGTTTTCTGTTTTATTCTTTAATATCCAGTATGAATTACAGTAGTAGTGAATGTATGTCCTTAAATTCATAGTTGACTTTTTCAAATTGTTACCAATCTAGCATCCATGAAAGTAGGTATGAAGGTAATAAAACATGATTTTAGTGTGCTGTCTTTGATGTTTGTGCTGTCTGCTGAAAGTTTCACTTCTGCTAGTTCTTTATTAGTAGAAACTGCAAACATGTCTTGGCAGTTACTAAAAACAAAGCTTCCTTTTAAAATATTCTAAAAATAATCATGTGATATAAATTTCAAGCACATCTCGGGGTTAAAATGCTAACTTGAAATCTTTTTCCAGAAGAATCATCCACACTGAAGAATCTAGTGGCCTGATAGCTGTTATGTGCTCTCACTGATATAACAATTATCTGATGTTCGTGTAACAAACTGTTAAGGTCTGGTCAGCAGCCAACTTCAACTTACATTTTTATGTTTAAACTCCAAGATTTAGTTTACTAAAAAAGGTTTTGCTTTTGACCATATACATAGCGATGAAAAGATTCAACGTTGTGCCCCAACTTTGCATTCCAACCACTAATCCATTTCAAAACTATATACTGTATATATGACTTGACATTACTGCAAACTTGCAGTGTATTATTGTTGGAATGCTGGTCCTAACCTCTTTACTTTTCAGATCTCATCCAGTGAAACCATTGACATCCAGCCAGCCTGACAAGAAGGAGGGTCGCTCAGTTCTTGAGAAGCTTAAATCTACCATAAACCCAGGACGTTCCACCCTCCACGTCACGTCTGAGCCTGAGAAGAGTCAGGTACTGATAAAAAAAAGAGAGTATCAGATTTTAAGAGAATCTTAAAATCTTTCCGACTTTCGGGTAAGCAGTTGAGTTTACTTGAAACTCAACTGTGTACCTAAATGGCCTGTACTTATATAGCACTTTTTCAAGTCATGAGAGTTGACCATTTGACACTGCATTCACCCATTCCCACACACTGATGGTGGCAAGATCCACTGTAACAACATAGCTGCCCTGGGGCTCACTGACAGCAACGAGACTGCTGTACACAGGCACCTCTGGGGTCTCATTGGACCCATCTACTCAATGCAATCTTGAATACACTGACTAATGGCTGAGCTGGTGGGATATGGATGCAAAGAGGGTTTTCTGAAAAAACTGCAGAGGAACTCCCCATTTGTTTACTGAGATTTTGACTACCAATTAAGTCCTCATCTGTTTTGTTTTAATGTAGAATAACTAGGGCAAAAGCAAACCTACTGCTACTAATATGACCTAAATAGATTATTGGTACTATTTATCATAATTTACATAAGTAGATTACAATTTTTGATCACTTTTTTTTTTTATCTAACTTATATTTACCAAAACAAACTTATTGGGAAATATTTTTCATTATAAAAAAATGAACTAGCAAGACAACAGCTCTATAATTACAATGAACACAAGTGCACTAAAAAGAAAAAAAGCCAAAAGAGCAAAAAAAAAAAAAAGTTAGAAGTAATAAGACATATTTTGATGCAAGTAAAATGATTGCATTTCTATGTTTGCTGTGTTTTTTGTTTTGTTTTGTTTTAAATTGCCTTGATTCCCCTAAAATTACAAGTTCAGTTAGTTTTGAATCACTTTGGAGAATGTTTAGTCATATTGAAAATATCTAACAGTTCTTTTTACACTCTGGGAACAGATATATGATATAAAGCATTCGATAAAGGTCCATAGTGATTCTAGTTCTTTATCATATAAGTTGTTAGATAAAAATGAAATTGCCTGTGTTGTTCAGTTATGTGCATTTATGTTATTTAATACTTCATTAAATATGATTTGGACTGTTATTTCATGAACACATACCCAACTGAATCTGTATTAGGAAAACAGATGAGAGAATGATTTAATATCACATCACGGTAAAACCATTAACTCATTAACACACATATGGAATAAATTCAAATGATTAGAATTTATTAACAAAGGTAAATTCAGCTCCAGGTTAAACATACTCTATATCAGTTAAAACTCTTGCCTAAGCTAGTCAAACTTAACTAAATAGCTGCTTTGTATTAAAAAAAGGAAAAGATGATGATGGTTTTACCAATAAAAAATGCAATACAATCGCGTCTAGTACGGAAGAGGATTAGGGCCACTGAAAAAATAAAATGAAGTTAACCGATTTTTTTATTTTATTTCAGTATAATAAGGGGAAACGTCAGAGTTCTTACTTTTTTCTCAGAATTCTGACTTTTTGTCTTAGAATTCTGACTTTTTTC